CATAAAGAAGAGTAATAAAATTGATTGGATTCGGCCGGACGTTATGCCAAGTCCATCATGTCAAGAGTCATCACATATTAATTCATGATGTTTTGATGAATTTTGAGGCGTGTCTACCTCCATCTTTGAGCTAACTTCATAATAGAAGGGAAGTGTGGTAATTTTTTATTGCATTTATTAACTTTTTGTCCAAATGTGCTCGAAATCATCAAGCAATCAACTTGCTATCATTGATGGTTTCGAAACCTAATTCGTTCTCCTCATTAGTTTCCCTATGATAGAGAGGAGTAGAAAGGACAAACATGGTTTAGAAATACTCTGCCTGCATTGTTTTCACCTTAGAGCACAAAAATAGTTTTTTGCATGAAATTAGGGCACGACCGGACTTGTATGGACTGGACCAGGCTCCAATGTTTGGTGAGTAGAGTACTTTTGGCAGAAATAGAGGACAGTGGCTGAGGGTGAAACAGAGTAGTTGCACAAAAGGCAGACAGAGCAATTTTTGCAACCAACCTTTATTGACGCGCATGCGATCCTTGTGCATTTTTATATACATTAATGTTGTATTATTATTGTTCATATTACATTGTTGCAATTAGTGTTGTAATTATTATTGTTATAATATCCTTGCTGTAATAAATTAGACAGCTTCCTATTTATTTATTATTCATTCGAATTTGTAATAAGTAGTTAGTTTAGCTAATTCATTCATTTGGTGTTGTAATAGCTAGATTAAATTCAGACATTTATTCGGAGCCTTTTGTACGAGGGCAAAACATGTAATAATGTGGTGTATGGTAGTATATAGCATCATGTTTCGTTAGCATTTTTCATGATTTGCATCCATTTGTTTTGCATGCATTAGGGTTCGGCTCATCACACTAAGTAACGTCAATTTCGATTTCATTTCTTGAATACGTGCTTTATTGCATGCCTTGAATCGACTTACATACCATGCTAGTAGCCGAGCCTATTACATTGCATGGTTGCATGTGTTGCATTAGTCATGTTGCACTGTTTATGATCATGCATTTCCTCTAATTATTTTAGCCTTAATTGGCTTGCCTTGGAGTACTAGGTGAGCATTTCTTACTTTAGCATATTACATCGTATGTTTGTGTTGCCATATCAAGCATATTCCATGAGGCTAAATGCTTAAGTGATATACATATTTGAATGCCAATGGATAAAGGCCGTATACTTAAGTTGGAATAGTTTTATTAATGTCTATACAAGCTCGCTTTTTCAAGTTACATATATTCAAAGAACTTTTTCAAAACAAACATAAAATCAAAGCATTTTGAATTTTGCGAATTAGTCTATACTTGTGTGCATCACTTAGTGAAATTAGAAATAAAAATTGGAACAAGAGCATATACTATAAATAAGAATCACATCATGATTAGTAGAGGTCGATCGTTGATCGAGTGAGTGGGGTGCTCAATTCATGACCTTCCCCTCTTATACCTAAGTTTTCGAGCCGAGACACTTTGGTGATGACGGATAAGTGGCCTTTGGCACGAGTCTCGGGTTTTCTAAATTTTTCAAAAATATTTAACTGGCAATTTTGAAATCTGACAATGCAGTCAATTTTTGGCATCTTTGATGATTAATGGATTTTCTAGGATTTGTCAGATTTGGACTCTTATTTGTTTTTTGTTTCACATTACACTTATGAAACCAAATTTAGAACCACGGGAGTTCGAACTGTAGAACTATCATATCCAATGAGACTAAACCCCTCCGAGGAGCATGAAAAACCAGCTACAATAGCTGAACTAATCTCCTCCGAGAAGTGAAGGTCTGCATAGATAACAAATGGTGAGGTTACCCGACCGAGATTCAGTCGAAAACCTCTCTGATAATAAAGTCAAGGACTAGGGAAGAAAAAGAAGAGATGATGCAAAGAGAGTGTGTATGTTGAGTGTCTAGAAATCGGATCCTTGTAGAGTGAACAATGTTCACCTTTTATAGGAGAAGGTTGTTTCTTTTCCAAGATCTTCTCTCTTTTTCCATCTGTTATGTTTGTCTCATTCGTGATCATCTCTCATTGGAGCAGGACGACCACTCTGCTTGACACTCTAGTGTATTGGTTTGTCGTGTGTAAGCTTGTCTCTCTACATCTTCATGTTTGGACATTTTGTTCGAACAAAGGGAGAGAAACAAAGTTGTTTATCTGTTATGAGCAGTTTTTTAGTGTTTGAAAAGGGTTCACACAACCTTTTTAAGGTCTTTAGGATTACTATATGCCATCTTTTGACTTTCTCCCTATTTACTCTCAAATACTCAAATCTTAGCCGAAAAAAATGAACTCTCTCCACAATATTATAAGCTTACATATTCAATTTTATACAAGTACTTGCATTTACAAAATAAATTTTTTAAATGAATCAAGTAAGATTTTAGAGAAAAAAAAAATTGAAGATTTTGGTTTTTTAACCTTGTAAAAAGTTAAAAAATATTGTTGTTGAGTTATTGTTACTTGAAAATTAAAAGTTTGTCTTTATTTGCTTTCTTTATTAAGAATGGTTGATAAGGAATAGTATCTAAAAGGAAAAATGTGAAGTAGTAAATATGGGAACCCGTGTTAACTTCTTATCTAGACCACGTAAACATTATTTAAAACAATATTTTCATTGATTTAAGTTTAGGGTTTGGTTTGGCATAACCTACAAAAGTTAAAAAATCAAAAAATTATTAAAAAAGTCAAAAAGTCCATACTATTTGGGGGATGCTTGTGGGGGAAGCTTAGAGGGCAAAATATTCAACTATCCAAAAGTCAAAAAGTCAACAATGGTAGAATGGTCATTTTGATTTTACAATGATAGAGACCCCCACAAAACACAACCCCCAAAATGATCTGAACCATTCATGTCACTGGGGGTGTTTGGTGCAGCTTTTTTAAGCCAACTTATGGCTTCTGGCTTTTAAAAAGTTATTTTGGACTGTTTGGTTAAACTTATTTCAAACAGCTTCTGATTCTAACAACTTATTTTAAGTCAAAAAAGCTGATTCTGAGAAGCTGCTCACCCCTTGCTTCTGATTATCAGCTTCTGCTGTGGACATGTTAATTCACGGTTATACTCTTAGATTTTTTTATTTTTTATTTTTTAAAAAATAGAAAAAGACTCAAATGGACTATAAAATATTATTATTATTTTTTATGAAAAATGTAGACAAATAGTGAATAATAAAAAATAAAAATTAATTGAAAAAGCTACTTCACAGCTTATGTAACAAACACTACACAGCAACTTAAATCTATAATCCAACAGCTATACCAAACAGATTAACAGCTTCTGATTAAAGTCATAATCTATAATCTGTTAAGTTATAATCTATAATCTGTTTTAACAGCTACACCAAACAGCACCAACAAATACACATTTGAAACACATGTTGGAATATATTTAATTCATTACGTTCCGTTCTTAGTGTGTTTCTACATTTTACCCTCATTACTATGTCTTAATCTTGGCTTAAGAATGCCTAAGATGCAATGAGGATACTAAAACACATTGGTAAACGCTTGGTCAAATTTCTGAAAATAGGGTCCCCGCTTGAGTGTATATTCTTTCGCTTAAGCGGACATGCAATATGTGAGGGGACGCTCGAGCGCTACTTACCGCGCTCGAGCGTTCTGCAAATTTTGAAAAGTACTGGTTATGTGATTTTCACGCTCGATGAATGCTCGATGGCCGCTCGAGCGTGAGGCTCATGTCCCCGCTCGAGCGCAACTCTCGTAGCTCGAGCGGTCTGTAAAAACATGAAAACTTTTAGGAGCATGTATTTCACACTCGAGCGTACTTCAGGTCACTCGAGTGGAAATCCAAAAATAAAGGTTTCCGCTCGAGCGTAGAATCTCACGCTCGAGCGGAAGTGCAAAATTTGGAATTTTCAAATTGCACTCCCAAGCTGCAAATTCAAATCCAAAGCTATAATTCACATCCTTTTGGGCCCAAAATTTAAGATAACATGTGTAAACTTGTAAAATATGAAGGTGTAAGGACCATTTCATGAAATCAGGGCCCAAAAGTATGTCAATTTCGCAACATTCAACTTGAAATGTAAGAATATGATGTGATCATGTCATGCATGTGTAATTTGAGTTCATAGTTTCCCAAAACATGATCAAATGAAATAGTCAACTAAAAAACATGGTGAATTCTTAGTCTACAACCAAAATATGAACATGCATGTGAGGATTCTTATGAAAATAACTTCAAAACTTTATAATATGGACATGCATGCATGATTTGAGTTACAATTCTTTAATCCTAGCCCATTCTCATGTTAGTCCACCTCTTTTAACTTGAATTCTTACAAAAGCTAACTCAATCACACAACTAAGGGTTAGATTCCTTACCTAGGCTTGTCAAGATGAGAGTTAGAAGCTTAATTTTGAGTTCCTAAGTCCAAATTCTTCAATTCTAGTAAATTCTTGCTCAATTCTTCATTCCTCTAGTTGAGATCCATACTCCCTCTCTTTCTCTCTCTCTCTCTCTCTCTCTCTCTCTCTCTCACGTTGAGTTCATAGATGAGGAAACAAGGGTGTCAAAAATGTGTAGGAGTGATAGAAGTGGCCTTATATAGTCCCACTTAGTGATATTTAATTAATTTGGCTTAAGCTAAGCAAAGTGGCATTAATTAATCTAATTTAATTGTTCCAAATCGAATTTCAATTGAACCTACTATAAAATTCTAAAAATTCTAATTAACATATAAATCAAGTCAATTTTTGAATCGGATGCCGATGAGACCTTCAATTCACAAATCGAAACGAAAACACGAACAGATCTTTCTACGCTAAACAGATATAAGCACAATATTGCACACACACACAAGCAATTTAATTCAGAATTTGTCTTAATTACTGATTAAGCTTATTTAACCACGAATTAACGTAAATCAGAGGTCGGGGTTATTACAGGTCGGACTCTTAAACTTCATCAGATTTGAGAGTTTTCATTTATGTTTTTGTTATTTCAACTTGTTAATATTACTGCATAACTTCTGGGCAGGTTGCAAACTCAAATGTTCGTCAAAATGCATTGCATCTACTGCTAGACATGTTCCCCCTTGAAGATCCTGATTGTACAAAGGAGGTTAAAGATACCCTGCTTGATAAACAATTCTTTTTGTTGGAAAGATTACTGATGGATGAATGTCCAGATGTAAGAGTTGTTGCAGTAGAAGGTTCTTGTCGCATTCTTCATTTGTTTTGGGAAATTATTCCTTCTTCTACCATTACAAAGATAATCACCAAAATTTTTGATGATATGACTCATGATCCATGCAATGAGGTCAGGCTTTCCACATTGAATGGCATTATATATTTGCTTGGCAATCCTCAATCTCATGAGATTCTTAAAGTTCTTCTACCAAGATTGGGGCATCTGATTCTGGATCCTGCGATGTCCATACGAGCTGCTCTTATAGATCTCCTTCTTCTTGTAAGGGATATTCGAATTTTCCAGTTTCATAAGGTACAGATTACTCTTGCAAATTAATTTTTTTTAATCTTATACCTACAAGAACTCTTTGTGACATTTCTTTTCCTTGTAGTTGATTTACTTTTCTCTGTTGATTTGCTGCAGGTTGTGCACTTAGACCTATTACTGTCAACACTTGCAAATGATCAACCACTTATTGCTGAGAAAATCACTAAACTTCTGATGCCATCATATTTCCCCTCAAAAGTAACTGTGGAAGAAGCATGTAATCGATGTGTCACACTTATCAAAAGGTCTCCAATGGCTGGGGCAAGGTTTTGTGAATTTGCTCTATCAGAAGGGGCATCTTTGCAGTATCTCATGGAGCTTGTCAAAGTTTTCATCAATTTGGTTGTCTCTACTAACAAGCTGGATGGAAATCAGATTGATGGCTTACTTGTTGCTGCTGCCTACCTTTGCAATAATCTAGTGACTGAGGCATCTTACAAGGCTACCCTTAAGGAATTGTTGTCTGGTGAAAAGCTGAGGTGCTTGTTTGTTGCTGCAGCTACTAGGCATGCTCAATCTTCTGTTTGTGACATCATTTCCAGCATCTCTCCAGATGATGCTGGCAGTCTTTTTGAAGAATGCATGGCCTTGGTCACAAATTGTTGCGGTTTATCTGAAAACATGGAAATGCAAGGTGAAGTGAGGTCTGCCCACAAGATGATGTTGTCTTGTAATTGGTTTGATGAGATGTTTGAGACTCTGACAAGGCTTTTGCAAAAAACTGCCCACGGATGCCATACCAAATTTGGCACAGAAATAGCAAGGCACAATGTTCCCTCTGCAAAACGAAGGAAAACTAAGTCCTCTATCAAAATTTCAACGAAATGGAAGCATGTCAGTGGGAAAAAGTCTTCCAGTACGGCCACCTCCATATTTGAAGAGGATTATTCAATTGCTTTAGGAATAGCGTGGCAAATAAGAGACTTGCTTACAGATGAAAACACACGGAAAGCAATGTTGGAGTCTCTAATTCTAGAAATAGCATTCTTTGCTTTAAAGACCATTTCTGAAGTCAGCATTGTACAGTGCATGCATTGCAGTTATATGGACACATCTCCAATTTTGGCATACACAGCTCTTACTTTCCATATGTCTCTTCAAAATGTTAGCATAAATGGTACAAACAATCATGGAACCAAGAATAAGGCTCGTCTTGATTCTTCAGGATCATCTTTGGAGGCAAGTGATATTTTCTCCCTTAACTCTTTTGTTGAATAACTTATTCATCGTAGTTTAAATATACATGAGGCTTTCCTTGCCACCATTTTTTTTCTGCTTTTTTCCTTTTCAGCCAACTTTGTTGGAGCAAACGATGGATCACCTATTCAACTGTACAAATAAGCTATTCGGAGCTGGTGACGGAGGAAAGTCTGGCAGATTGCCCTCAGGAGCTAAGCAGGATAAGAACAAGACAGCATATCATTGTGGGCGTAAGAAGAGAGAATCTGAAATAAATACCTCTAGCCCTAGTGATGGAGGTCAGTGATGATGGAAGGGTATCTTAAGCACACAAATTCTTGTGAATAAATCCATTTGTTTGAGTGAGTCTTATGCGCTGAAATAAAACAATGCTGAAGCTCAAACAGATTTACTTATTCCTTCCATAGCGTGTGCTGGTTTTGTGGTTGACTTGGTAAACATATACAACCATTGAAAAAAGTTCCATTCTATACTTGGTTACTTAGAATGGACTTGTAAACCAAGTCCATATCTAATCTTATCTTGTTTCTCATCCTGTGGAATATGACCCACCATTAGGTGTTTCTCAGTGGAAGGACTTAGTTGTCCAGCAGTTCCCATCTGAAATTCCAACTTTGCAACTATGACCTAAATTAGAGAACTACAGAGAAATGGGAAGACTGAAAAAAGTTTTGATTTTGGCCAATGAAAATAGCTGGAGTGGTTAATAGAAAAGTTTGTTATGAGTGCACAGAACAGTTTGTTATGATGTTTTACGTCTCTTGGTTTTCCATGCTGATCTGGGAGTTTATAATCAACCCAAATAAGCTTTTTGGGTGTCCACCATGTTTGGCCCCCTTGCAGTTTTTACCAGTAATTTTGTAGTCTTAGTGGATGTCTATGTATAATTGCTTACCTTTAAATCCAAGCCCAGTTTTGAATTGTGGTTTGTTACTTAGTTGGGTTTATTTATCACCTTCATGTAGGACCCACTTTTACTGAACAGAGAAGGATGTCTAATACATTGAAGATCCTAACAGCAGTTCTCAAGTTCATAGTTGATGCAACCGCAATGGGTCTCATTTCTAACAGTCAAGAAAAGTGCTTGAAGTTCACACTGAAATATGTGGAATTCATTATGTCTAATTTAAGGCAACATTCCCATGACGAGCTGCAGTTGAAGGAGGAAGATTTGAAAGAAGCATTCATCTGTCTGAAGAGTTCCTTCACCTATGCAGCCAAGCTACTCAATTTAATCCTATCAAGCTCCGATGAAGCTTCACCGCCTCCCCCACAAGCTTATATTCTTGCTAACAGTTTGCTTGATCTAATCATTTCAATTGAATCATGTTTGGGCTCTGGTTATGCATCACGTGTCGTTGCTGCAATGAAGCCATGGCTGCCTGATTTGATTCTGGCATTGGGATCGATGCAGATGCACAAACAGACTTCAGAAGGGAGAGCATCTGAATCTGGTTTTCCATCATGGCCGTCAATTTTAGCAAAGATTGAATTCCGTGAGTCAAGTGAAGTTGGCTCAGATGAGGAGGGTGAGAGAGTTTCAGAACCAGTGGAATTTCCCGCCTTCAAGAAACTTGAGGAAATGCTGGTCATACTGTTGAGAGGAAATACTAAGGTATTAGATGCGGTTGGGGTGATTTTTTTGACCAGTGTGACTGTTGGGCTGGAACGGAAGGACTTTAAACTGGTATTCAGACTCTTGCACTTTGTGTCCATGAAATTGGTCAGACATGAGCTTGGAGAGTGGGGAGAGCTTGACTTGATGTTGGCATCTTTGCACAATATTTACCTTCAAATAGAGAGAGAAGCTGAACTGAGCAGCGATGAGAATGCAAGGCAGATGTTACAGAGTGCAATGATGTTACTTGAACCAGTTTGGTCGAGTTATACTTATGATACTCAGAAGGATTCCATGGAGGAAGAATAGAAACTGATAAGATCAGACATGGAAAATTAAACAAAACGTTTTTGCAAATCGCTCTCTACTAGTGGCAATTGCAGTTCTTAAGCTCAGTTTATTAATGTATAAACATGAGTTTTCTTTAGTTGGACAGTTACTGTATGTGAATAAGGTCAGAAACTATATTTGTTTCTAGTCCATCTTCAAGTTTACTATGCTTCCTTCTAGTAAATGGTCTTAGCTTCAGCTGCCAAGAGTGTACACAAACCTCAGTGTTAAAATCTGTCCCAAAATATATTGAATTTTTTTATCAGGCTTTCAAAGGTGTTCTCCTGATGTTCAACAAATCAACTTAATTGTAAATGTCAGACATTAGGGCTTTTTATATATTAGTAATTCTATGGTGTTGAAAAGTTTTGAAATTTTATTATGAAACAGAAGCATGCATGTGGTCTCGTTCATTATATTTTATGTAAAACTATTAACTTTTACAAACTTTTTAAATTCATATTAGTTGCCTTTATCATATTTTGAATCCCAAATGAATGAATTCCATACAAAATATAAAAAACACAACACAGTGAAAATGTCTCTCCAGTCTTTTCCAATGAGTGTGAGTTTAAGGTGGGGTTTAATAACATAATTTAGCATTTAAGGGGTGGTTTGGAATGATCTAAATAAGTGCATTTTTTAATTTTTTATGAAATATGAATTGGATTTGAAGTGATATGGTAGAGAGGTGATGTGACTTAAATAAGATGATGTGACTTAAATAGGATAGTGACTTTTTGACTTTTTAATTTTTTTAAAATACCCCAAACAAGGCAATTTTTAGTTTTCAGCGTTTAATTTTCAATTTTATCAAACACTACCTAATAACATTGCAGATGAAGGGCTATTTTGGAAAGATGGTTATAAACTGTTTATAAGCAACTTTTTTTGTGAGAGAGGAAGTGGGTTATAATCTGGGAAGTGGATTATAACCCACTTCCCAAAAGGGGCCGAAGGGAGCTAGAATCAAATTTGCCTTTGCTCCTATTAAAATATTGTATTTATTACATGCAAAAAAAAAAAAAAAAAAAACTAACAAACTCATTGCATGCCCTCACTCCTGAATATAATTAAAAAGATTTGCTTGAAAAAATTGATAATATTTTTTGCAGCTTAGAAGGGAGATCCTCATCCCCTAATTTGGCTATGCTCCCTCCCCTTGCCAACAAAACTAAACTAAGCCAAAAAAGGTATTTTGAAATCTTACAAAACAAACAAAAAAATGGGGTACCAAAATTGTGAGATTTTCATTTCATCTTTCATCTTTTAGTTAAGGAGAGTAACGGCGCATCCTTTCCTGCCCATTAGCATCCATCATTCAGAACACTTAAAGCTCGTTTATCAGATTGAAGCTTTGTGCATTGAATTCCAAAAGTAGCATTTCTGAGTCACGTGTCCACGTGGATCATCTTCAATCCTGCTGCAATTGGCATGCCTAAGAATCCAAATAATATACTGACGAACCATTGTGCAAGAGTGAGGGGTGTCGTATTTGCAAAAGCACCCAGGTACTCTATGATTATGATCTGGAACAAGGCAGTGCAACCAAGAACGCTCACGAAAACATAGTTATCCAGTATGCCTTCAAAAACATTGATTTTCTCCATCTCTCTGGAACTTATTTCGTTGAATACCTGCAGAGAATAAGATCAGAATACCTTATGTAATTTTGACGTCCCCATTATGGTTGGAAATGGATTTTTCATTGAAGCTTCTACATGGAAATCTAGTTGTGTGATTTGAAGAGGACAGTGTGTGATGTGATTCAAAGTTGAGATCTAGTTGCGTAATTCAAAGAGGACAGCATGTCAAATCTCTTTTAAATGATCAAGTGCCAAAAGGGTTTTTAGGAAATTACCTGACAGAAGACGAATGAGTTGAAAATTAGCGTGTTAAGGGCCAGATCAGAATCGCTGCCATCAAGACCAAATATTGCCTTGCCTTTTGCCTGAAGAAACCATATTACTATAAACTGATATAGGGATTGCCCT